TTTATTTACCTTCTATAATTGAAACTTTGTAGCCTTGAGAGGAGCTCAGAGCCAGCCAGGGCGGGCGGGAGGGAAGCTTGGCTTCCTCCATCACTGGAGCAACCAAGCTTCCTGCTCGCTCCAGCTCCGTGGCCCGCCGGCTGAAAGCAGGTATCTGGGGTTTATTTACCTTCTATAATTGAAACTTTGTTGTTTTGAGTGGAGCTCAGAGCCGGCCGCGGCAGGCGGGAAGCTTGGCTTCCTCCATCATTGGGGCAACCAAGCCTGCTTGCTCCAGCTCCGTGGCTGCCGGCCGCCATCTTGGTTGGGTTAATTTGCATATAGTTGCTCTGATGGGCTGGTGGGCGTGGCTTAAGGCATAGCAAAGGTACAGTCAATTTGCATGTTTATCTTTTATTAGTGTAGATAACCGCTTCCAAGTACATGTAATTGAGCCCCTGAAGCATTTTCAATTAAAGTTAGCTCAAGTAAAGAACACCAATTCTCAGGCCATAGTTTATAGGCCTTTCCTGGGAATAGGTTCTCTTAACTCACCAATGTCAAGAATTCTATCTCCAGGTCGGTTCCACCTCCAGCCCTCCAGCTGCTGGTGTTCAGTGTATTGTAACCGTCTGTCATGGAACACTACACGGAATATACTCTAAAAAGAAGCAACAAAATCAAATGATAATAGGATTCCTTTAAAATAAATGCTGGCAAACAAAAAATTGCAGGAGTCACCCCCAGTTGGTTTCTAGATACAACCTAAAATTGTTTTCCTTAAAACCTATTTCATTCTAAGACCCACACCATACCAAGCTCTAATTCAAGGTAAATTTTATAATTGCTCAGATATAATCTTTACAATGAACCAGTTCATATTTGCTGAAACATCAGTTCTGATGGTAACTAAGCATAAAGGACTCATATCAGAAGGATTTCTACATGCCCCTACTGCTATTATGTAATATTTGGCTTGGCTCTTCAGATGTACACCAAAAACTCACCAAGGCCCTTGCTTGCTAACCCGCCATATAAACTGTAAACACAGAGCAAGTAGCAGCTATTTCCGTCAACTTTACTTTTATTACGCTTACTTTTCGGAGGTGCCTATTAATATCCTTCTTATCACCTTTTACAGCTGCTGCCCAAACTCCTCTGTCCCACTTGTACTGTGAATTCATTACCATCAGTCTAGATCAGTGGTCGGCAAACTGCGGCTCGTGAGCCACATGCGGCCCTTTGGCCCCTTGAGTGTGGCTCTTCCACAAAACACCACGTGTGGGCGCGCATGTACAGTGCAATTGAAACTTCGTGGCCCATGCACAGAAGTCGGTATTTTGTGTGGTCTAGACCAGTGGTTCTAAACCTTCTGGCCCTTTCAATACAGTTCCTCATGTTGTGACCCAACCATAAAATTATTTTCGTTGCTACTTCATAACTGTAATGTTGCTACTGTGATGAATCGTAATGTAAATATCTGATATGCAGGATGGTCTTAGGCGACCCCTGTGAAAGGGTCATTTGACCGCCAAAGGGGTCACGACCCACAGGTTGAGAACCACTGGTCTAGACAAAGAAAACTGCTATTCGTCAACACTAGCTTCTGTTTTCCTTGCAAACAGACAAAGTATCCAAAGAGACGGGGGAACTTCTCTCAAGATCTCAAGGATGTTACTGTATTCCACCCGAAAAGAATTTTACTGAGCAGCGAAACTCTCCTGCCATGGAGTGGTAAGCCTTCTGTTCCTGCAGCTCTGAAAAATCTATGTGAATAGAGGGGCTCACTCTGACCCCACATTCTGCCAGCAAACTGTAGCAGGTAAGATATCACCAAGGCTTTTATGGAAGCAAAATAATATTACAAAGAGTCACTATAAAGGATGTTTATTCATTTTCTTTTACCTTCACCAACTTGCCATTAATTTCTGGAAGTTCTCCAAGTTTCCTGTTGTCTAGCATTCGGATTTCATAAGACTGTCCTGGAAGAAAAAGTAACTACGTATTATATTCATCATAATTAATATTCCAAAATTCAGAATGAAAAAATTCAGTTGAGAGGTTCATTGTGGCAGCAGGAAGTTGAATTTTAGGAGAGCAGTGTTCTCTGAAGAATCTAATGTATGGGGCCACCGCGCTTTTGTTGGATGGGCTGACGGACGTGGATCCTGGGGATGGGGAAAGAACTGTCAGACACATCCAGGCGTCCAGACTCAGGCAGGAGGCTCAGGGAAGAAGTGGATGCTCAGTGGACCTGGGGGCACCCAAGAGGGAGCTGGTGCCTGTGTGCTGTAAGAGGAATGAGATGAGAAACCCCTTACTCCCATGACACTATAGGCTGTGGCGGCTCCCCCCCTCCCCCAACAGTTTACCTACAGGTAAATTGAGGGGCCCAAAGTCGGATCCAAGTATCTAGAATAAGCTCTAGTGTTGGAGCAGCTAGAAAATGGTCCATGTGCGAATGTATACACCACTGCCCTCGCAATACCCTGAGGAGTATTCCTCTCAGACAGATCGTGATTTGGAATTACTGACTGATTAAAGATTCCTCTTTCTCCACACTCCTACTTCCAAAAAAAGGCATTTTAGCAACATTTTTGGAGCTTTGAAAGTAATGTTAGATTCTGTGTGGGATAAAAACATACGTAAGCCCTGGTCCCTTTCCTCAATTTAATGTAGCTGGAAGCCAAGCTATTTCCTGGGTTTAAAACCCGGTTCTTCCATTGTGTGTCCTTTTCAAATTTCTTAATCTTTGCCTCAGTTGCCTCAGCCTCAAAACAGGAATATTTAGTAATTCATCTCACAGGGCTGTTGAGAGGATTAAATGCCTTAATACATATAAAGCATGTAAAACGAGGCCTGGCACTTAATGAATCTATGACTGTAAGCTGTCATCATCGTCGCATTACTGCCAGCATCATCTAGAAGTGACACACTATAGAAAAAGAAGGGCTTCCAATCACTTAAGGACAAAGTAAAACTTAGTAACAACCTGTCTATCTTGAGAGAGTACAGATAGAATTTTTTTTCTTTTTCTTTTTTTTTAAGAAGGGAGATTGATAGGGAATTAGAAACAACAATGAGAAAGAAACATCGATCAGCTGCCTCCTGCACACCCCCTACTGGGGATGTGCCCGCAACCAAGGTACATGCCCTTGACCGCAGGCCGACGCTCTATCCACTGAGCCAAACCGGTCAGGGCTACAGATAGAATCTTATGAAAGTTTGTATCCCCCACAGTATCTTGTTTATGGATGTATGACACGTAGTTGTTAAAAGCAGGAACTTTCATAAATTAGAGGCAAAAAAAAAAAAGGAATAAAATTCAGTTGTTGAATACATAAAAATATAATATTATAGTATTAGTAAAAACAACTACAATCCTTTACTATATGCTAGGCACAGTGCTAAATGTTTTCATGCATTGTATCATTTAATTTACCCAACTCTCTCTAAGGTATTATCAATCCCATTTTTACAGATAAGTTTATGTTTTAGTCATATCATATGTTTTAGTCAAACATAGTCATATCAATTGATGCAGAAAAAGCATTTGACAAAATTTGACAAAATCCAACACCCTTTCTTTTTTTCCCTCAGCAAAGTGGGAATAGAGGGATCATACCTCAACATAATAAAAGCCTTATATGTCAAACCTACAGCCAACATCATACTCAATGGGCAAAAACTAAAACTATTTCACCT